TGGGGACCAGGAATTGGGGGGTGGGACTGGGAGGAGGGGGACTGGGAATGGGAGGAGGGGGGACTGGGAATTGGGGACCAGGAATTGGGGGGTGGGACTGGGAGGAGGGGGACTGGGAATGGGAGGAGGGGGGACTGGGAATTGGGGACCAGGAATGCGGGGGTGGGACTGGGAGTGGGGGGCAGGAAAAGCAGCCCAACTGGGGCCAGGCCCCCCTTTTCCATCCCTCCTTTTCCATCCCTCCCTTTCCCACTCCCAGATCTACGCCCTGAACCGGGTGATGACGGAGCTGGAGCAGCAGCAGTTTGACTCGTTCTGCAAACAGATGCAGGGAGGGGGGGAGTGACCCCCCGGGACCCCCCTCCCCTTTTGTACCCCCCTATTTATTCCCCCGTCTCCGTTTTGTACCAATAAAACTGGGCTGTTCTGCCGCTCCTGCATCCGGGGGCTCCAGGGATTGGGGGAGGCCTTATCCCAGCACTCCAGTTCCCTGCCTCGGGAAGGGTCCTGCCCTGACCCCGTTCTGACCTTCCCAGCCAAGGGAAGGGTCCTGCCACACTCCTATCCTGGCATTCCAATTCCCTGCCCAGGGACGGGTCCTGTTCTGACTCCATCCTGTCATCCCTGCCCCAGCCCCCCATCCCAACATTCCCTGCCCAGGGAAGGGTCCCATTCCGGCCCCATCCCAACATTCCATGCCCTGCTCCCATCCCAACACTCCTGCCCCGACGCCATCCCAACATTCCCTGCCCAGGGAAGGGTCCTGCCCTGATCCCATCCCAACATTCCTGCCCAGGTCTCATCCCAACATTCCCAGCTGAGGGGAAGGTTCCTGACCCAGCCCCATCCTGACATTCTCTGTCAAGGGAAAAGGTCTTGTCCTGATCCCATCCCAGTATTCCCAATGAGAGAAGGGTCCTATCCTGGCCTCATCCTGATATTCCCCGCACTGGCACCATCCCAAAATTCCCTGCACTGGCCCCATCCCAACATTCCCTGCTCTGGCCCCACCCTGACATTCCTGCCCTGGCCCCATCCCAATATTCCCTGCCCAGGGAAGGGTCCTGCCCCAGCCCCATCCCAGCATTCCCTGCCCAGGAAAAGGTCCTGCCCCAGCCCCATCCCAGCATTCCCAGCTAAGGGGAAGGGTCCTGCCCCAGCCCTATCCCGACATTCCCTTCCCTGCCCTCATCCCAGCATTCCCTGCCCAGGAAAAGGTCCTGTCCTGGTCCCATCCCAACATTCCGTGCCCAGGGAAGGGTCTTGTCCTGACTCCATCTTGTCATTCCTGCCCTGGCCCCATCCCAACATTCCCAGCTGAAAGGAAGGTTCCTGCCCTCCCAGAGCCGGGGTTTTCCTAGGATTTCTCCCGGAGGACCCCTCTCACAGCTGCTGGATCCTCCCAGGGGATCCCAAGTGTTTCTCCAGCTCCAGGTCCGACCTTCGCTTCCTTCCTCCTCCCACACCCTCCGGCAGCCTCCGGCTTTCCAGAGGCTTGGGATCAAATCCTGCTTCCCCCTTCCTCCCTTGGGATCAAATCCCACCTCCCTCTTTTCCCCAAAGGATTCAGAGTTCTCTTGTGGGGTCTGTCCCTAAATCCCCTATTTCCAAGGATTTGTGGGGGCAATCCCTAAGTTCCCTGTTTCCCAAGGATTTGGGAGTCTCTTGTGGGGTTGATCCCTAAATTCCCCGTTTCCCAAGGGTTTGGAGGTCTCCTGTGGAGTTTGATCCCTAAACTTCCCGTTTCCCCAGGGTTTGTGGGTCTCTTGTGGGGTTGATCCCTCAGATCAACCTTGTTTCCTCAGGGTTTGTGGGATCCTTGCGGGGGCAATCCCTGAACTCCCTGCTTCCAAAGCTTAGTGTGGGCAATCCCTAACTCCCCCTTTCCCAGAGGTTTGTGGAGCCTCTTGTGGGGTTGATCCCTAAAATGCTGTTTCCAAGGCTTTGTGGGGGCAATCCCCAACTCCCCCTTTCCCAGAGGTTTGTGGGGCTGATCCCTAAAATCCTATTTCCAAGGCTTCGTGGGGGCAATCCCCAACTCCCTCTTTCCCAGAGGTTTGTGGGGCTGATCCCTAAAATCCTATTTCCAAGGCTTCGTGGGGGCAATCCCCAACTCCCTCTTTCCCAGAGGTTTGTGGGGCTGATCCCTAAAAT